TCCAAATTCCCAAAGGGAAACAAAGCCTAACCGGCCCTTCGTGAGGGCCGGGGGGGTTGACCGGAAAATAAAACCAAAATATCACATCTTGCCGGGGGGGTTGGGGGGGGGGGTCCCGTGAATCAATCATGTTATTCCAAAAAGGGAGAGGGAGTTTATATAGATACCTTGATCTTGGCGGCGGAGTAGATAAAGCCTCCCACGATGTTGACGACGATGAACTCCCACTGCTGGCGGGAGATGGGCGCGCTGGGAAGGAGGAAGTACCCCAGGATGGACACGGGGAACTGCACGCATCACGTCGCATCACGTCACATCAGACAAGTCGCATCGCATGTCAAATTGAGCTCCCGCGCATCACGTCGCATCAGAAAACGTCGCATCGCATCACATCACACAACACAACACAACACATTAGATCGAATCACATCGCGTGTTAGATCACATTTAATTAAGTCGCAACATCACATCGCATCGCGGGGCAAGGCCGGTATGGAATGACAGCCAACAGTCCCGAGAACGTTTGCAGGACAGGGGAGAAATGGCCCCGCACTCGCTGACACATGGGAGGGGAGCACGTGTTGAGAGAAAATTTGTTGTTTGTTTCCCAAATCATGTCGTGGCCAAAAATCTCGAAGCTATAAAGTGCAAACGAGCCAACCCAGTTTTGCGTTCTTCAAGACGAAAAAAGAAAAAAAACGCATATAGTCGGAGAGGAACGTTGTTCACCGAGCAACACTCTCTCATGCGAACGCGTGAAAAAAAAAAAAACGACTGCAACACGTGTCGCTCGGAAAGAGAGGGCCCGTGAAAGAGACACGGGAGGGGGTGCTCTGGAGAGCACGTATCGTTCTACTTTGCGAATACCATAGGTGTATGACGCAAAGTACCACAGCCCCTGGATCGATCTTCAAAGCTAGACTACTCCACGACGAAACATATGCCAACATCAAACAGGATGATTTCGGAAAGCTCTCGACGAGAAGGTTCCTCCAACGCCGCCATATTTTCGGCACGGACACTGCTGTTTGCTGCAGAACATTCGAGCTTTGATAGACGGTCCCAAGGTGTGTGTGTGTGGTGTCATGCAACCTACGATAGCGTCTTCCCCTCTTGTTCACGACACAGCCATTCCACCACTGCCGCTGTTTTGGGCAACACCGCCAAGCCTTACGCCCCGCCCTACGTAGAAAAGATGCGTGGCCCCTCGGATCTCGGCGATGCCATCGTCCACGTTTAAGGAATTACGTAGAAAATACAGAAAGTACTACCCGTTCCAGACAAACCAGAGCAGTCGAAGGGTTATCCTCCCACCTGCAGGACGCGCCCTCCCTGCCCTCGAAAATGCGCATGTCCAATGGGACAATGACAACAGTAACCGTCCAACCCTGCTTCTTTCTATTCTGACACTGGAGCATCAAAGTGTGCGTGTATGTGGAGGCAGCACCTTCTATACCGCTGCTACTTCATTCGCAGACGGGCATAAAGTGTGTGTATCTCTTGAATTGACATCGACCGGCGCTAATCGACTGACCAATGAAAAGGCGTCAGTCTCGTATGCATACTGTAGCGCGGGAAAAAGAACACCAACGTCTTCAAACTAGAGCGTGCGCGTGTGCAGGCACACGAGCGAGTGCAGCAGCAGTGTCTGTCTGGTCTGTCTGTCTTGTCTGTCTGTCCCCTCACATTGTTGACGGTGTTCACGACGGCGTAGGTTGTCGCCGACGTAGCGCCCACGCACCACAGGGCCGCGAAGTTCAGGAAAAACCCGGCCGCGCCTGCAGTCACACAAGGAACAGCACCAGCATCAGCATCAGCGTCAGCGGCGGCAGTAGCAGTAGTAGCAGCAGCAGCAGCAGCAATAATTGCAACGGTTGCAGAGGAGATGGTGCTCCGCGAGAGGAGCGATTCGAACATATCGTCCGCTCAACGTTGTGGTACCCATGTCAGGGGAGACACGTACGTCCAATACGCGATTACACAATCCCTTCCAGTTGGCAAAGACAAAGACGGTGTTGTCACTTTTTCGGCCAACATGTTTGCGTTCTCGCGTTTCCTACTAAAGGGTGATCTGTTCTACACACACAAGTTGTTTTTGGGTAATTGATGCCATTCCTTGTTCTGCTCGTCTTCTCGCCAAAAGCAAAACACAGCCTTCCATGCACACGCAGATTCCCGTCCCATATCAACAGACAGGGGACGCATACTGCAGTCAAGAGAACAGACACTGCTGTCATGCCAAGGGCGAGAAACCGCTGGCTCACCGACAGCATACGGAGGAGGGAGCTCAAGGGCAAAATGCCCGTACAGCACAGAGAGCGTCCGCAGTGCAAAACTCGGCAGCAAAGAAATTGGTAACAGCCTCGGGAAAAACATACCAAATCTAAGAACCTAAGCACAATTTGTGGGGTCGGTTAATAACCCCCTACACAAAAACCTTTACCTAGTACTGTACAGCATCGATTTGTAGCCCACAATACTATTACCAAGGGGTAAGAAATAACAACCCCAGCCCCGACCGTAGCTACAGGGTTGTCAGTGCGGGCGCTTTCTGCGGCACACCTACAACGATTTTCGTGCAAAACAACGACACGGAAATGTAAAAAAAGAAAGAAAAAAAAATTGCAGTCCACCACCCGCCCGCCCCTTGAACCAGCAAACCCGCGCTTACCGGCACCGAGGTTTATGCTCAGGTACGTGGGAGTGTGCAGATCCGCGCGGTCAAGGAAGCCAACCAAGCCGGTGCTCTCCAACGTGAAGACCTCTCCGAAACACATAGCCAACGGCAGCATGATCAGGCACCCTGCGTCGCACGATAGACAGCAATTTTTAGTTGACGTCATCGCACAATAGATGGGCGTTTTTTTGTTGGCATGCTAACAAAATCGAACAGCGTTAAGTCACGAGATGCAACCAACGGTCGCACGGGGAGCATTTTCAGCGACGACTAAATTCCTGGGAATGTTCGAAACGTCAAGGACGTCGCCACATCTATCTACACCCCACAAACGCCACTCCAGCACGCGCGGAAGATTTGTGCATGATCCCTGCACCATGAACATTATCACACGAAACAACAATGGCGGCAATCCTTCACATTATACACACAATCATCGTACACCCCCAAGTATCGACTCGAGGGCAAGAAAACGCTGACCTAGCAAGTTGTTGTAGAAAACCATGCCGAACTTGGGCAGCTTCATGGTGCGGGTGGCGAACTTCATCGTCAACACGTACGAAGCCGTCGCGAAGCAGTTCGCCGACATCCAGAAGTAGCCCCACGCCCTGGATTCGAAGCGAAACGTCACAACAAACCGAAACAAAACAACCGTTCACCGGCGAGAAGAAGGATTGAAACTGTTGGTGTTGGCAGTCCTTGTTCGTGAGGAAAGTACAAATTTAGCGTGTGGCAACGAGTAGGGACGAGGGACGACGCATACTCAAGG